AAATAGAGTAGCAATACTCTTAGAAGAATATTAGTTACTTAAGTACTCCTAAAGTAAATGTAAGGGAACAAAGGTAACCGGTTACTACCCACCTCTGAGGAAGGTTTGTTGGAGAAAAACAGCTTCATGGATTTTTGTTTTAACTCTCAGTTGTAATTTAGATTTTTTTTTCTCACACCTGCATCAACACAAAGTAATATTTAACACCTTTTAACGCTGAATTTGTTTCAACAGATGAGGAACTCGTACCTGATCCTGGACGAATATGTAAGTTCCTTACATTTCCTGTAATCCGACAGTGATGCTTTATTAGCCTTCACCGTGGTGCGTTCAGATCATCGCCCTAAACCTCTTCCCTCCCTCCTGCTTCTGCAGATGCGTTTCCTGGACTGTCGAGAGGGAAGGAAGGACCCTTCCAGATCCATCCTCGATGTTGGTGTGAAGGACGCCATCAGCTTCAGCGGCTTTGATGAGAAGATGTTTCTGAAGCGAGGAGGGAAATACGTGTGGAGCAAAGCGGACATGAAGCTGGAGTGGTGAAACTGAGCTGATCGCTTATCCAATGCTTCTGTTTGCCTCTTGTTACACTTTGGATAAGATTATTGTAAATAATTCATGTAAAGCTTTCAGTGTGTTTTTATTTTTTCTATATATAATGTTTTAAATTAAATGTAAATAAAGTTTATTTTTGCCAACTGAAGCCATAGTTTTTTATGGTTAGTTTTTTTCTGTTACTCCGTGGGGCCTAAAGGTATTTAATCAGCCCCTGATTGTCCAAGAGTTACTATTGGGATGAAAGTTCAGCCGTTTTCATCATAGGTTCCCATTAACAATGAGAAAGTCAATATACGTAAACCTGAATTTATCTGAACATCACGTCAGTTATAAACGAAAAAGATGCCTGACCCTCATAGACCTGTAACTCCTCCTCCTCCGCTCATTACCTGTATTTATTGTTTTTAACTCATTATCTGTGTAATAGACACCTGTACACGGCTTTAAACAGTGAGAATCGAAACTCAAATAGCTTAGTGAAAGGATTAGAACTGAAGAAGCACTGAAATACAAGTAACCCCTTAAACATTTCTTCTGTCCTCCCAACCCTGCCTTAAGGAAATAAAAACACTTTGCATTTTTTTTAAGCTTTCACTTCATTTCTGTCACCTGTTTCCATCCCAAAACCAGTTAACAGCTTCCACAGCACTCACAGGGTGGGGCTTCTTCAGAAAAAATAATAAATACTGTAATAATATAATATTAATAATATGAATTCTTCATTTTAGCAGGTAAATAAGCTGAACTGCCAACTTAATATATGTAATTCGGACTCAGATTACATATTTATTGACAATTTTGACATTGACAATGTTATTACTTTTTTTTTTTTTAGATCTGTAAATATATTTATATATATTATATTTTTTATTTTTAGTGTGGACAGTTTTATTGCATTTCTGCATTTTATTGTATTTCTTTAGATGATGATTGTGTGCAATATGTTGTTTATATACCTGGAGTGTGTAATTTCCCCCCTGGGATCATTAAAGTATTTCTGATTCTATCTCTTGGTCAATTATAGACCGATATCATATCTTCCTTCCTTTCTTACCTAAAATTCCTCAGAAAGTTGTTGCCAAACAAATTTGCAACCACTTACTTCTGCTATTAAAATAAGATAATTAGAATGCAATAACAATAAGATTTTTTTTATTATTATTTTAAACATAAATTGTCCCATTCCATCTACAAATGGTCTTACCTTCTTAAATCAAGGAAAATACACTTCAAGAAAAATTGACTTACTTCTACTTTAATTTTTGCTCTGTGTTTTCAGTACATGGGCCATAACAGCATTCTGCAGGGGCACTGGCCCATTATGGCCCCTGTCTAGAACCGCCCATGCTATCAGGAGAGACGCTCAAGTTTTTAAAATTCTTCAGAAATCCTTAAGAATTTATTATCAATACAATTGTAAATATTAACATAGTTTTTGGCTTTTTTGGAAGAAGAATCTGAAGA